TTCTCTATCCTCTTCAATTGGGTGGAATTCATGTTCCACATGTACAATTGTTGCAGTTAGATCCACAGTGGTGGAATAATGATTTGGTGGAAGAGAGGAATTATGAACTCTTTGAAATGGTCAAGAGAGTTAAAGCAAGCGTTAAGGCAGCTCAAGAGGAGGGAATTCAAGCAATGGGTCATGTTATCGTAGCGAATGGAGTAGCTAAATTGATGTCTGAGAGGAAATTAGCTCGAATTCCAGGGAATTTAACATGGTCAGAATGGATAGTTTTTACTATGGTAGGAGTTTTTGTGTTTCTGTTAGTAATAAAACGTATCATATATGTGATAAGAAAGAGAAGTACCAAACCTTTTAGATTGATTAGTACCCATTGTACTGTATAAATTGACTGAGGTATGTTCACTGTTGTGTTACTACTATACAAATAATTATAATAAGTAAATTTATGAGAAGCAAGAAGGAAGATCTTTGCGGGTCCATTATCACTCTCTCTCCCTTATGTCTTATATAAAATGTTAAAATAAATAACATATATTGGCAGAATGACTGGTGTCTTTTCATTAAATTAAATAACAAGGGGAAACGAAGATTTTAAATCTACAGTGGCCTCCTCTTGGGCTCTAGCGCATGGCGCCTCGCTAACAGACATCTGTAGAGCTGCAGGCTGGGCGACACCAAACACCTTCGCCAGACTCTATAATCTTCGAGTCGAACCGGTGTCCTCTCACGTACTCGCTTCCGCCAGTACTGGACCCGCTTAGGTGTCTTCGCTTGCTCGCCATTCCACTCTCGACTGGATAAGTGCGATATTCCTCAGTAGTCTTCCTTTGAAGCCTTGAGTCCTCCAGCACCCAAGATGTGGGCACCACTGCGTCGCTCTGGTTGCCAGCTAGGTGCCTCCATGTGCACGGTTCCCTATGGTAACTGTCTCATGTGTAATATCCACTGTAAGCCTCTCTGAGCATGTGTCTTCCCTTGGCAAGCCATCTGCCACCCCTGGAGTTAATTCTAGTAACCACCTGCGGTTGGTGCTCCAGTGATCTCCATATGCATCCCTATGCGGCCATATGTGTATTCGTAAGTCCTCCCTACGGTAGGCATCTGGTAGCATGTCCCTACTCAGGGAACGAGGGTTACATCCGTAACCGAGACGTTTTGTATCCAGGCTCTCACGGGGATTTCGAATGCCCCAACGCCTGTGATGAGAAGACCAACTCCTGTGATTATTAGTTATTCTGCCCTTACTAAAATTTGGGTAGGACTTCTAGCTTGGCAGACAGCTAACAGGTTCTTCAATAAACACCCAGGAAGCAGTAGAACGTTTAGGATGCTTTATCAGAAGCACTGTGAAACTGCAATACAGAAATACAAAATGTACTTATTGATAAACTTGACTATGTTAAATTTTTATTAACACAGGATTAATACCATTTTGAAAAACACAAAATACAGTAACATAAATTTACCCATTAACCACACATGGTTGTATAGCGATTAGCATGAATGCTAACTTAACATGGAAAACGCCATAGACAGGCTAATGCGATTAGCATCTTTACCATTTTCAACACTTTTCACACAAATATGTAATTCAAACAATGTTCACTTAAGGTTGTCACAAAAATGCACTTTAAACAATCACTTACAGACATAAGTTCTTCAGAGTTAAGAAGACAAAACGTGTTAAAGATGATGAAAAGTGCTCAGCTGTGTTTCAGGGTTGTTGCATGAATTGAGAACTACGGCAAGTCTAAACAGACAAACAGCGAAGTAGTAAGATCTTCTACCTGCTTTCTTAAAGGAGCAGCACAGGAGTTTTGGTTCCTTGCCACTGTTTCCTTGCTTTTGGCTTGCTCAGTTTGGGATATTTAATATTTAACAATATTATTGATCTGTGTTGTACTACTTTCATGTTATCACTGTGAAGCTGCTTTGATACAATCTGTATTGTGAAAAGCGCTATATAAATAAATGTGACTTGACTTGACAGTCTTTTATCTCTGTTGTAAGTAACTGGGGAAATTAAGCACTCACAGCCCAAATGGTTAACACCTCAAAAAGGTGCCCAAGTTTACTGGCGTGGAGAATGGCTGCTTCAGAGTAGCAAGAAGATTCAGAAAAAGTTGGCCAAAAAGGTTGACTTCTCTAAAGTTCTTTCTGCTTTTTCTACACTCTCTGCTCCAGTGTCCCGGCTGACCACAGTAATAACACATGCCCTCTCTCTTAGGACATTTAGGTTTCTGTGGGTTCTCTGTGCTGACCTTAAAAAATGCTGCTGCAATTTTTACTCTTGCCTTAACATCCGCATCTTTTTACCAAGCAGTTAACCTGTCCAGGTTACTTTTCAAGGTTCCAGTTTGCCATGTCATTTCTAAGAAAGGCAACGCATTCCTTTGTTCTGACAAAAGATTATCAAACCATGTACGAAATAATGGACCATTGTCATTTAACACTTTCTCTGAAGTGTCAGCTATTCCACTGTATGCAGCTGCTGTCTGACAGAACCTCTCTGTGTACTCATGCAGTCACACTTTCATCCTTCTTTTGCGTACATCTTAGCCTGGTTCAACCAGACTCTAGTTCATTTCATTTCCACATAGAGTCTGGAACCGCTCCATTGAAAAACGTTTCCTTCCTTGTAGGCGGGTTCACTATTAAAGTTCAAATTTATTGGATCTGCCCAAAGTCACTCACGATCTGCCATTGCCAATCGCTAACGGGGTGTCGTGAGTGACGTATGTCACGCGCCGAAGAGGATTATGTTTACAATAGGATTTCAGTCAACGAGCGCCGCAGGTTTTGTTAATCTAGGAACAATTATTAATTCGAAATGTATATTTGACACGAAGGACAGTGATATATACATCCAACGGTGGAAGCTGTGTCTAATCATTACAAATACGCCGCTGTGGTCGTTTTCTGATCTGCCGCAAATGCTGTAACGTTAGCTGCTACAGTGAATGATCAGTCTGTCTCTATCTGCAGATGTGTAATAAACAACAACAATTTTTCATATTACGTCTTATTGTTTCTTAATTACTTTAATTATGGTCTTCAAAGTATGTGTTTGTACATTTTTATATGGCATTTAGTTTTTTTAGTAAAACAAATCAACCATTGCCATCTGAAACTGAAAATCAAATATCTTCAAAGTATGGTTTTTCACATTTTTATTTTTTTGACAATTATTTTTTTTAAATCACAACCAATTTGTATGATTTACAACATGTAAAACTGACACACCAACCTCCTGCACGAGTGCACAAAGGGGCTCAAAATGTTCTATTCATCACAAGAATCAGTAATATACAGTTGGGAATATGAGCGACTGACATGACTCCTGAGCGGATCTTCAACAATAGTTTAGCAGCCAGGACTCGGGGCTTCCGAACACCGCGAACACCAGGCTAAACCGTCCGTCCAAAATGTCACGGTCATCGTGCACTACACTGCATGAAAAGTGGGATTTTCGTCCCCGTAAACTGTCGGAAATCTCCCTAATTTTCGGCAGTTAACGACAATTTACAGACTGTGAACGTCGCGTTCCACTGTGCCACATATTGACGGAAACGAACCATGACGTATGCATGGAGCGCTCGCGGAGGTGTGAATGGCCCTAATTAGCATATGCATAGCAACACTGCGCGCGCCTTGCCAGAGAATGGCTTGAATTTCCTCACTCAGTATTGGTTGAAATTCACTACATTTAAACAAGAAAATCACTCGTGATTGGTTGGCAGATCTGTTATTATTGGTCAGCTTACATAAAATTATAATAATAATAATTTATTTATATATATTCATATGATATGCTATTATGTTGTATATTCATGTCATTGTTATCCTATGGACTAAACTATTATTACCATCAAGGACATGAATTTATTGAGGAAAGGAACATATGCCAGATACTGTTTATTCAAAGAAATAGCTTTATTAGAACAAACACACAATGTACAAAGCATAGGAGAACATCTTCAAAGCACAGAAAACATGTCCTCCACCCTCTGGAAACATGGGATAACATACATACAGCACTACAGTTATACAAATAAATCAATAATATATTGCATCTTTATTCAAAAATAAATTGCCCTGAATGGCATCAGAATTGGGCACCAGATATATCAAACACAATGTACAGTGGAGGCAGAATTATGAACAAATAATAAGGATGTAATTTATAGGGATAGTTCAGTTTGAAATTATTTTTTTAATATGTTTTAGCTTACCTCAAGGGCATCCAAGATGTAGGTGTCTTTGTTTCCACAATATTTTCAATTTTGATATTTTTAGGTCAAACCGTTCTTGTCTGTCAGTCATATAATGGAGGTCTATGGTCACCACCTCAAAGAGCATGCACAGAGAAGTCCAAATTAAACATGATTTAATGACTCATAAATTAAGTACACATTGATGGCCTAAGACACGAAACGAGCGATTTGTGAGAGAAAACAAACAGTTTATATATATATATATATATATACACACACTGTTCATTTTCTCACACAAACCGCTCGTTTCGTATCTTAAGCCATCAATGTGTACTTACAGTTACGAGTCATTAAATCATGTTTAATCTGGATTTCTCTGTGCATGCTCTTTTAAGAGATCCCCATAGATTTCCATTATATGACTGACAGACAAGAATGGTTTGACGTAAAAATATAAAAATTGAAACTACTGTGGAAACAAAGACATCTTGGATGCCCTTGAGGTAAGCTAAAACATATCAAAAATTAATTTTAAAGTGAACTATCCCTTTAAAACTCTTAATTCAAGTCCTGTAGGCTCATCGGGGCGTAGTGAATCCTCCACCTCCAAGTCTTTGCGACGCGTGCTTGAGGTGCTCACACACGTTCACCTTGATGTACATACACCTCAGTGGCTATGGAACCAAATTTCACGATCCCTTCTGCAAAGTTGAAAAAGACCAATGATTTAGATTTATGCAAAGGCAATCTGCCCCAAGTCCCCACATTTGTAAGCAAACATATGTTTCCTTTGCATCCACTACCTGGTTTCCTTCAGGCGATGGCGGATGTCGACCAGTAGTTTCAGGACATTTTTCTGGAACACTGAAATAAACAAACACATTTGGTGAGGTTTGCAATGCTCTAATTAGAATAGCAAAGTTTGCTAGCTCACAAGAGAGAAGGTGTCTATTAAAAGTGTCTTCTCCACTGCCAATAGATCAATACTTACCAGTCTCAGTCACTGCATCTCCCAGTCTCAGTCACTGCATCTACACCACAAAAAATGTGTTATACAAGTTATTATCAAATGATGAAACTGAACATATTTATAAGATGATAAATAATAAATCTGCAATATTGTAACAATTAGAGATACATCTATAAAACTTGGTGAACTGCAAAGTACTTTGATGAAAATTGCGGCCTTAATTGTAAAAAAATTCTAAATTACTTGATTTCTTGTTCAAAGCAATGTGTACACTGTGTAACAGGCATCCAGGGTCATATGACCACCACCTGAATAGCAAAATAATCCTAAATGAGCTTAATGTGAACGCAGCCGACAACTCACCGTGCCTGTCATGTGCTGAGATCACTGCGCTGTACTCTTTTATCATGTCTGGACCTGGGCGGGGGACTGGGGGCATCACTACGGGATCGGTCTTCATGGATTTATTAGTTCCATATGGTTATACCTGAAATTAAAATAATTTTGTAATTATAATACGTTTCCTGTTGTGTTAGTATATGTGCACTGGAAGCCTCAGCACACAAACAAATTCCTTATGTGTGCAAGGCAAGCACACTAGATAATAAAGCTCTTTCTGATTCAGATTCAAAGTAATAGCAGTGATTTGAAGACTGTGTGCCTCGCACCATCACTGTACGTGCTGTGACCCATCATGTCTGGACCTGAAGGTGTGCCTCGAACAATCTCTGTGCAGGACCTGATGGTGAATCGAACACTGGACCTAGTAACATTTAAACTTGGCCAAACATTAATGAATATAACATGCCATGTTCCAGTTCTCTTTGGCGTTTTCACCACTGTCTTACTCTCAAAGTCATCCGTAAACACAGACGTTAATACCAAATTAGTTTAGTTTTACTGTTTATTTGACTGGGGCCTGATCAAAAGAAAAGAGGATGAGATCACAACACGTAACGTTACCTTGTTTAGGTGTTTTTTCTCCTATCAGGGAAAGGCACCTCACTCCTTACAGCACCTGAGAGACAAAACAAATGCGTTAACAAACATCACAAACAGATGGAGTTAAAGATTTCACTCCATCACACAACAGCGTTGCAGTTTTACAAACAAGGATAGCCTACACTAGAGCATACAAGCACATTACGAACTTTGAGTTTGTATGATCCTGGCACATATAATTTTTCCATAATTTCTGACGATATTCAGAGTAAACGCATTGGGAAAAGCCCGTTGAACACCCAATACGAGTTAGTTTGATTACTAGCAAAGAATGGTAGCTACCTAGCAGCCAGATAACAACTTGCAAAATACAATTTAGTGTCCCAAATTGACATGAAACTAAAAAAGAATTAAGAGCAGCAAGCTAACCCAAAACAAAAAACTGTGCCGTTAAGGTTAACGCCCTTGAACATTCGCGGCAGTAATCACAGCAGGTTTGTGAAACGCTAAACTACCAAACACTATAAGTAGACATGGACATAGAATTCACTAGATTGGACGAACTTACCTTCAATTTAGAGGAGATGGGTTCACCAGTGATCATGACGGCGATGTAGGCTGAATATCTGTGCCGTTATTTTCTGCTTCCTTTATTGGGATTTTGCATCTGTGCCGTTATTTTCTGCTTGAAAAACCAACCATGTGAAAAACACGCTGAATCGCGCCGCTCGCGCCACATGGCTCGCATGTTGCCTCGGCCTATCAGAGTGGCTGGCGTTACAGGTTGGGTTATGATGATATGTTGCCTCAGCCAATCAGAGTGACGTTCACTGGATTTCGACTGTGGTTTAAATCAAAGCTCTTGATAGAGTTGTCCTCGGCTGTCCATGACTTTTCTGTTGCTGTTAGTTCTTTTTAAATTAGGAATAAGGTGGATAGACCTAATATAGGCTACCATGAAATGAAAAATACAAACAGGGTGTGCATAAATAAATAACTTGATTAGGCTACTTAAAATAAATAAACCAGTAAAAAAAAAAAAAAAAAAAAAAAAACATCTGGTTATAACTCTGAATTAACATCCAAAGATGTTATCATATAATTTGAAAACTGCTTCTGTAAATGTTATGATGAATCCTATAATTTTATTAGGTAAATTTCATATTCATAAGAGTAAAATGAATAATTCTAAACCTTGTTTGAAGTTTTTTTTTTTTTTTGGTCTGATTTTCCGTTGTATATTGAGTCTCTCTATCGATAAAAATGTAGTGATACAATTGTATTTACTAAAGAATATTGAAGCTAATTGAAAAGTGAATTAATGTGTATGCTATTTTCTTTCTTTAAGTAGTACAAATTACTGGTTTCTAGCTTTCTCTTAAATCATTATATTATACATAATAGATAGTCCTTTTCCCCTTTTTATTTTATTTTTTCAATTCTGTCCTATTTTTATTTTTTCTTATTCATTTATAGTGAAATTATTATTTGTTGATTGTTATCTTTTTGGATACCATGCTATTGTTGTAATTGTTGTGCATTATGTGTAATGTAAAAAAAACAAAACAAAAAAAAAAAACCAAAACAAAAAAAACACTGTGAGCCTGATCTATTTCTACCAGAAATTGTCCTAGAATGAGGTATATCTTTCAGAAAAATGTTACCTGGGGTGAAACTCCCCTACCCTTATTTGCATGTGTATAGCTCACAGCATTTTAATTTACATGTCAAAGCCTCCTCTAGATTTAGGAAAAGGGGGGTCATGGGGGGACAACTGGCAAGCAAGGCCTACGTCAATTTCCGGCAATTCACGGCAGTTTTGGGTGTTGCCTGTAAATTGCCGTGTGCAGTCGTAAACCTGAACTTCCACGACAATCTACAGTGCTTACTGACGAAAATCCCACTTTTCATGCAGTGCTAGCTGCCCAGCACAAACTTCCAAAATTTCTGCCTCCTTCACTTGGTCCTCAGTTGTGCAACAAGAGGTGAGACGATAACAATACGGCTTTAAATTCTGTATATTCGGCAGTTTCTTTTCCAACAATGGACCGAATAGCTTTTCTCCGTCTTTCTCCGCTGCCATTACTGAATTGAAACTGACGCGCTTACATCAACGTCATCGTTCTCAGCCACTCCCTCTATTCGCTGATTGGTCCTACAAAAAATTGATTTCTGGAAACCTAAGGATATGGAGCGATCCCAGACGTAGTACTGAAGTAAAATGAAATTGAGCGGAAGTGCTTAGGAGGGCGCAGCCAGGCTACGTACATCTTTGACCAGTCCACTTTTGGTCCAACAATTTTCTTTAACACTCTCAGAACTCCCTCTCTCAATTCTCAATTAGACTCTGTGACAATCTCTCTATGTCTCTAGGTCCAAGCGTTTTTTAGCAACAGTTTGGATTTGAACAACATAAGCACTGGAAGGAACACTTTCTGACTGTTCAGTTCCCTGCGGTCTTTTTCTAGCAGCACATACCTTCACTGAATTTACATGCTTATCTGTTATTGATGGGATGTCTACATCTCTTTCAAAGAATGTTTGTAAATCAGGATAGATATGTTATCAGGCTGACTTACTACTTCCACATCAGTTTTTTCTGCATCTTTGTTGCAGTTCAATTTCTTGGTTAATGCAGAAACTCTAGCCCGTAGCTCTTTGTTCTCTTTCTCTAGCTCTGACTTTTGCTCAGACTGTTGTGTAGCTAGTGCTAAACAAAATTCTCTATGGCAACAGATTATGCCTTTCATGTTTTTCTTTCTGATACATGCTCCCAGTACTTTTTTACACTCATCTACCGACCAAGTCTTGTCTGGATGAATCTCATATTTCTGTGTTAGTTCTTTCCTATCTTTTTCAGTAACTAGGTTCATTTGTTCTCCTAACAGTGTTTTGAATTCGCTATCTGACCACAATGGAGCAGCAAGGCCACTTTTCTCAGTTGTTGGAACCAACTTAGCATTTTTTCTAACCATTTTTGTGATATTCTTTACCACACCAAAAAACTTTCTCTGATCAAACAGAGGCTACACTTGTTTACACAGATCAACTGTTGTTAAACCTTCTTTGGTAGACCAAAGGATATCCACAATATTACTAGCACTTTATGCTAATCTTCCCTGCTTGTACAGAGGATCAAACTTTCATCTCTAAAATAATTTAATTTTTTAGAGGGTAACACCACAAAATAACAAAAAACAACACAAACTATTAGCATGTTACGCTAATCTTCCCTGAAAGAAAATGGAAAGGATCTTTCACCTTCCTAAACTTTTAGAGGATGACCAAAATAACTAGCACAAAAATTCTAATCCTCCTCTGTGAACAGAGGTTATCACCAAATATTAACACGTAATGTTAATCTTCCCTAAGTTTTGAGGATACCTTCTCTAGCAACGTAGAGGCACTATTCCGTTAAACAAAACTTCCCTGACTTATTCAGAGAATATCTACAACTTCCCTGACTTATTCAGAGGATCCCAAAATATTAACATTTAATGTCAATCTTCCCTGCCTGACAACAGAGGATATCTATCATCTTTAAAAGACAACTTTTAAAGGATAACTTTAGTTAATCAAACACTACAGCTGTCTGATAACTCTCTGACGGCGCAGAGGCACAACTTTGGTACTGGTCTGGTTCTTTGAATAGAGTGAAAAAACTCACCGAATCGTTGCTTGTATGAAAAGATTCAGTCTGGACCTCAGTCAGAAAAGTTATTTTTGTTCTTGTTCTGGAACTCAGTCCGCTTTGAGATCTTGTTCTGCTTGAGGTTTTCAAGATTCAGTTGAGATGCTCTGTTGAAATCTTTTGTTGCTTGAAGTTTTGGATTCAGGTAAGATTTCTCTATCCGGGTCGCGGCACCATCTGTAGTGAAGTTTTATTCTTCCAGGGTTCAGGGTTCTACCAGATGACTGAAGTTAATTCTTCCGTAAGAGCTTCACGGACCCTAATTGCATGTTTGTTTTCTGTGTCAGCATGCAATTACAGAAAAAGCAAACACAGAACATGAGTGCCTGTAGTGTTGGGAGTAACGCATTACAAAAGTAATACATTACAGTAACATATTACTTTTTGCTGTAACGCAGTAGTGTAAGGCATTACTAATCAATTTTCAGTAATATTTTACTCGTTACATGTTCAGTGAGGCTTGTATTACAGTTGTATTACAGTGTATTGTCTGCTTTTACTTCTTAAAGGCAACAGACTATGTGAAAGTTTTAAAGCAGTCTTTTAGTGCCAGTTCAGAGCGGTCGCGTCTGTAACATTGTTTTTTCCTCATAAATGCGAACACGAAAACTAAAATAAAATGAATATTTTAAGTTCTATGGAGACTGGAGAGCCAACCCTTCCTCATCCGATTTGCGCAGTGTAATTAACAGAATTACAAAAAATCGATTTTGCCTCCTATTTTTTTGTCACGCATGAATGTGTGTCTTTTCCCTAATATTAAAAATAAAACATAGTCTGATATTTGTCTAATGTCTGGAGTCCTTTAAGGAAGTAGCCTATATACGTTTCAATACATGTATTTTCTGAGAATTTTTATTTCAAGTTTTGACTGCAAATGTCATCATGTCCATAATGCTGGACTTCCCCAATTTTAAATAATTTATCCTCAACTAGTTTTGTGGTGTAGGTCTACGTATTTTATAATGTTAACTTCAAATAATACTAATAGCCTAATTGAAAG